CGAAGTCAAGATACAGGAGAGCAAAAGGGAAAAGGACACGGAATAAGGAAAGGAGAGCATACCAGATTGGACAGCTTCACGGCGTGAAGAGGTCTGGGCTTTCCTTCAAGGAACTCTTTGGCCCCCAGTTGCAGCACCTGGTCGAGTCAGCTCTAGACTTTGTCCGTCGGCAACTCCACCGGCGACGCGCGGTTGGGATCCATCGGGCCGGAGTACATCCACATAGGCCGCCTCCTTTCCACCAGCGGGGCAACCCGACAGCGGAAGATGGTGTGGAACGCCTGCAGCCTGTCGAGGCCGTGCTGCACCAGCTTCTAGAGCTCCGCCTCAATGATCTTTAGCTTGTTCTGCCGGCTAGAGGGGCCCCACGACCAGCTCTCCCGCCTCTCCGGCCTTCTACCAGTGAACGGTAGGAATTGCGCCTCCGCTAGGTTCCTGATGTACAACCACTCCCCATGCCACCCCCGATTGGAGTTGCAGGGGAGTACGCGGGGTTGGAGCCCAACAAACTCGGCTTCTTCTGCAGCACGAAGCCCCCAACCGGCGTGGTCCTGGGCGGCTTCCCCTCCGACAAGGCTCGCCCGGTGAAGATCCGCCAGAAGAAGTCCACGTGCGGCTTCATCCCGAGGAAGGCCTCGCAGACGGTCACAAAGCCGGCAACGTGCAGCACCCTAGTCGGATTGAGGTGCTGCAACTCCAGCCCCATTCATTAAGGAGCCCGTGCAAGAACTAGTGCGCGGGATATTCTAGCCCACGCTTGTGGAAGGTGAGGAAGGAGATGACCTCGCCAGCCCGAGGTCATGGAACAGCCTCCCCTGGCACAGGAGCCCTCCAGTGCACCACCTCCTTCGGTGACGGCAGCCCCTTCTTGGCGAAGGCGGCCAGCACCACCTCATCCACATTTGATGGCCTCTAGCTCGACATCGTGCTCTGGGTTCACGAACGGATCTGTGAGTTCTCCTCTGCCTCACTCTACTCTCTCTCTCCCCTAGAAACCACCACGGCTCACGAATGGGCCTGGCGAGAAGGAAGAAGGAGGAGAGGCAGCAGTTAGAGAAAGGCGAAGGGATAGGGGTGAAAAACCCTCTCCCTTCCCCTATTTAATGCGGATAGGCATGCGATGGGACGCGTCCTGACTGATGGGACACGCCCTGCCCTACGAGACGGCGCCCGGTTAAATAGGATGTGGCCTAGGCATGGCCCACCACTAGCGCACGTCGGGCGCAGGAAACAAGGGGCAACCGCACGCGAGCGGCCCTCCGCCTTCCCAGGCAGGACCTAGAAGGGCCCAACAACGGGATCTCCATCAAGGAGACACCAATGGGCTTCTTGAGTCGATCGAATGGCTCAGGCGAATGTCGAGAGACAGGTAAGGAGCAGTGGGACGCCCCATGTGGGCCATGCCATCTCCGTCACGAACGACGAACATGGGTCCCATTCGGACATATCCGATAAGAACTCCTCAAACCCGTCACTCGAGTCATCAAGGTAATTTTACCAAACCCTCTTACTTTATTTTCTGATGCATGATTATTCATTCATCCATTCTCATACACGCATTCACACATTCATTCATACAATCATTCATTCATTCCATACATCCAAAGCATCGCATATGTAGTTGTTGCATCATAACGCTGCGTGTTGCGTCATGAAGCGGTAGTTGCCTCATTCAAACATGAGCAACGACCGACCGGGGTTCGAAGGCTGGCCCGCGAAGGGCTCGAGGCCGCCTCGCGTCAAATAGAGCTAGGGGAGAAAACGTAGATGAGCCCCAGCGGCCCTCGCCCGATATGCTCAGAAGCAGACAGGGTCATCTCAACCTTCTCGTTCGATCCTAACCTTGAGCCATGCCCACAGAATCTCCATCGAGGGGAGGCCAGCGGGCCACCTGAGTCGGTCTCCAAAAAGACCCGGGCATCTATCGAGACGCGGGTTAAGGAGCAGTGGAATACCACAAGAGGGCTATGCCTACCCCGTTACGAACGACGGACCCGGATTCCACTCGAACGTGCCCGTTAGTGAGCTCACGGAGCGCGTCACTCGAGCCATCGAGGCAAGCAACGTTAGCTCAGCCCCTCCGGTTGCGAAAACCACGGACGTGATAACGCACGAAACTCAACCGACCCCTACCGAGCCCAACGGGGCTCAGGGGCTCGGGATGCCCAACCCCTCGACGCGCCCGACGGCTGCGCCCAACGCCTGTGTCTGCGAGTCTGTCTCGCCGATCCCTCGGCTGTCCCTCGACAGCACCCGATGCCTGGGTCCACGAGTCTGTCTCACCCAATCCCTCGGCAGTCCCTCGGCCACGCCTGACGCCTGGGTCCGTGAGTCCGTCTCACCCGATCCCTCGGCTACGCCTGATGCCTTGGGCCACGAGTCTGTCTCATCTGATCCCTCAGCTGCGCCCGACGCCTGGGTCTGTGAGTCTGTCTCGCCCGATCCCTCAAGGGACTTCGGTGCGCTCGCACGCACCCACTGGCAAGTTGAAAAATCCCCCAGGCGATTCTGCCCAAATCGCCTGGGGGCTCGGGGGCTACACCCACTGGGTGCGCTCGCGCGCACCCGCTGGCAAAAACAGAAAATCCCCCAGGCGATTCTACCCGAATCCCCCGGGGGCTCGGGGGCTCCTGTCGGGTTCATAAACCCGGGGTCCCTAATGGGCCCGCTTCCCGGCAAAAGCTCGGCCCAGCAGACGACATTACAAGCGACGCACAACTCCTGGGCCAGCCCAGATACCTAATGGCAGGCCGAAAGAGCGGTCCAGTCTCTGACCGGAAGGCCTGGCCAACGCCCGCTTCCGACTCCGACCCGCTTCTCCAACCGGAAGGCCTGGCCAACACCTGCTTTCGACTTCGACCCGCTTCTCCGACCGGGGATACACCGAACCTCTGCTTACAGCACTTCTCCGACCGGTGCAGTCGGAGCCGACTGGGACCAACTGACTGGGGACGCCCGCTCGGTGAGGACCCAGGAAACGGGCGGAGCAAGTAAGGCAGGGCGCTCAAGTCAAACCGCAATACCGAGGACCATACCCTGCACACCTGCAGGACAGTAGCGCCAGACCATGTCAGAAGGGTGCTCTGCAACCTTCCAGACATGTCAGAACACGAACAGTGTTGTGGGCGCCAACATTTGTCCTACAGTATGGTAGGCGCCGACATTTGCCATACCAGAAGAACACGGTGAAGCCTGCCATATGCATCTGAGTGTCAACAGTATTGTGGGCGCCAACAAACCGTCATGTACCCGACGGCGTGGGCAACAAGACTAGGTAGCACACGCACTCTCTTCCTCTCACTCTCTCTCTTTCTCTTATAAGGCCGTCCCCTTCATCTATAAAAAGGGATGTGCCCTCTCCCAACAGGAGGACGATCGATTCAAACCACAGACAACAAACAGACGACAGGCGGATCATTCTAACTCACTCTCTGCTAGCTTTAGACACTCTAAAGCTATACATAGCACACGTTCGAATACTTAGCACAGGTAGGAGCTCCCATCACTCTTGGCCCTTCGGTCCAGAGTCCGACCGGACCTCTTATACCCCCATCTTACTCCCATTCGTTTGTAACCCCATAGCAAACTTCGAGCACCTGGGCTCAGGAATAAGTCACCGACCGATTCAAACTGGACGTAGGGCACGTTTTCTGAACAAGTATAAACCCTGTGTCATTAATTGCTAGGCCACATCCGATCACAACGTACGACAAAACGACAAATATTTACTAGTTGATCACTTTTCGCACCGACACACGCAATCTCCACGCATCCAACAGAAACGCACAACCCTAGCAATCCAGCCCATTTAAGGGCCTGTTTGGGTTAGGAACAAGTTCCCCACTGCTAAAATATTTAGGACTGCCGATAAAAAAAGAAATATTTAGGACTAGGGTAGGATTAGGGCTGGTCAGCTGGATCACAATCTATTACCAGGCCTGGCTTCACCTGGAACAGCCATTTCAGCAAGGCAATTATGGTTCTGGTCACGGGTCTGCTGCTCCTAATTCCAGACTACAGCGTGAAGTACCACCCCAATACAAGCTAGCAATCGACAATTCTAACAGTGTAGGTAGTACACACATACACATGATACACCCATCCCAAATTTATGTGCTCTGGTTAAACTGAAGCCTCCAATAAGGCAGTTTGGCTCCTGTTAGTTCAGCATAGTTTCATTAAGGCTTCAACTTACATACACAGTCGGTCTGCATGATATAATGCAGCCTGACGAAAACTGAACATGAAAAAAAAATCGAAAAAGGTTAACAAATTTCATTCTTCCTCACTCAACCATTGAGTACAGGTGAGTTATCACAAAGCAACACAAACTTATATCGTTCAATGGCCAATTCAATTCCAATTCAGTTTCTACCTACATTTGCAAGAGCCAACCTGTAAAGATGGACTGACCAGCTCCACAAAGCCGCGCCTAATTTTCTAGTAAATTTATAATCCTCTTAAGGCCTTGTTTAGATGCATGTGTATTCACTTCAATCCACGTGTGTTGAAGTAGAATGGAACGAAATTTAGTTTAATTTCACTTCAACACATGTGGATTAAGATGAATACATACGCATCCAAACAAGACCTATGAAAGTTTCATCGTATCACCCCACACCTGATTTTCTAGGACCATCAAGAATCAGTTCATGTTATGTTACATCATGAACATGAGTAAGCGACTACGGATTCGACACAAATGCAGCACATAACAAAGAGAGCCACAAGGTAGAAACAGAGAGCGGATACTAGTAATGTTTATCACATTTCATTTAGTTCTAGTAATAATAATTAACAAACGACCCAAATAGTACAATAGCCTCTGCTTAATATTGCAGAGCACTGAATTACCGAGTTCACCACGAGAGCAGCAGGACACAAACGAGAGCAAAGTAGCAGCAGAGCACAGCGCTCGCAAGCATTATACAGTACCAACAGAGCTTTATTACCAGCACAGTTATAGGCGACCAGGAACACACAACAGCCAGTCCACAGACTCACTGGCGGACGAGGCAGCCTTCAGCGACAGGCAGAGGGGTAACCGGGACAGGAGCAAAGGTGGTGGTGCCCTCGCCCTTGCTGGCTTCCTCCTCTTCCTCGTCAGACTGAACCAGGCCAGCAGCGCTGAAGATGTACGCCTTCACTTCCTCGAAGCGCTCCTCAGAGAGGGAGACCTCGGCGAGGAGCTTCCACGCGGAGGTTTCATATGCCTCTTCATAGTCGCTCCTGCGCTTCAGCACGATGTGGCCACTAATCTCCCACACAGCTGGGTTCACCTGAGTGTCCAGCAGCTCCTGGCTCACTTCGCCCAGAGCCTGCTTCTCTGCATAGCACTGCATTATTGAACAGATAGAAGTTTGTTAGAACATGATAAAGAGATTTCCAGCAATTCGGTCCAGATTTGACAAAGCTACGAAATTGTGTAATGATTTTACCTGGGGGAACAGGAAGATCCTCTTGCCACAGTCAGAAATGAGCACGTTGTAAGGCACATTGTTGTCCTGCAGCCAAATGCAAGCATTGGAAACCACATTTGCCAGGTCCTCCAGTGTGTTCCCTCCCTCAAATACCAGGCCTCTCACAGGATAATTTATCAGCTTGGACACGGTCACTCCATTCTTCATTGTATCCTCAGAAAGAGGGATCTTGTGGGTAGCTGCCTTCTCGACAGGGAAAGGCACTGACAAGTAGTATGCCTGTACAGAAAACAAGAAATTATCATTCAGTACTAAACAACATTTTCAAAAAAAAAGGGAGTTAGCACAATAACACTATCTTCACAATACTGAATATGCTCCTATTTGGTTAGGATTTTGTGGTGAGAAGTAAATTTAGATACCATCAGAAGTTTAATACCTGAAAGTGGAGGTGATTGATGGTGGCAAAGGCACCCAAGCTATTGTAACCAAGCCTGAAGTACGGGCTAGCTGCCTCAGCTGCCATTTGCAGTGCAAGCAAGAAGCTCTCTGGATCAATCTTCTGAGGCAGGCGGTCCAGAACACGAGGAATGAGAAGCACATGTCCATATTCAATTGGGCTCACCTGCAAACCATCGCAAACAGTCATTGGAAACAAGAATAGGCGAGATAGAATAAAAGTTGGATTGTCAGTGTGAATGAGAGATGTACATTGATAGCAACAACATTTGGAGCACGATCAACAGCAATGATTGGAGCATCATTCAGGAAATAGCTGTCATCACCATCGCCATTCTCAAATTGGAAGAGAACCTCTTCCTGGCCAACTTTGGTGAAATTGAACTTGGCAGGGTCAAATGGCTGGAGCACACGGTCCACACGAAACTCAGTAGGGCGCTTCTTAAGGTGGCGCCTTCATTGAGTTGTGCAACAAACCCAAGGTTGCCAGGGATGACCTTGGTCTCACAAGCAGTGACATCATAGCGGAATAAGCCTCGGGCCATCCTGTCCTCCCACTGCCAGAATACAAAGCAAAATACTAAACTCAGAATCTGAATCCTGAAAAGATAAATATTAGAAGTAGACTTCACTATCCACCTATTTCAGCAAACTTTCACAATAAAGTATTTCCTACTTTTATAGAATGTGGTACAGAACAAAAAGTAAAACTGTCCATATATCATTCGAAACCAGAGTTCGACATTTAGATTCACAGTGCCAGTTCTAGTGCCATTGTAAGGTATATATTAATCAAAATAAGAATGGTCCATATTTGAAGCGAACGGGGCCACTGTTCTTGCAGCAACTATCATCTTACAAGCCGTACAAGATGCGTTTGCTACTGCTCAAGTGGACTTAGGGCTCGTTTGGTTTGTGCCTGGCAGGTTTTCCACTCCTCAATACAAGAATGGTCCAAATATGTTTCCCCAACTTCTTAAGAGATATGCATATTTCTTACTAGACTAGATGTAGATAATTTGATTCCTAATATATCACATCCTAAAACTAGCACAGTTGAAGTCCAACAAAAGCCACAAGCTTTTATTTACCTCACTAAGGAGGATATCAACAAGCAACTTGGTTGAAGCAGCATCCTCCTGCAAGTGCTTTGCCGGATCCAACTTGAACGCGTAGAGGGGAAGCTTGGAAGCTGCTCAAAGAAAGATGCAAATGTCAGTCAAATAAAAGTGCAGCATAATTTGCTACTTTCATGTCAGGTGAAGCAAATAATACTAGTTTTTTATACATGCAGAGCTGATGTCTCAGTGAGGTTTCTACCGAGTTATAAAACAAACCATATTTTCAAGTGAGGCATACAATAGGCACATAATACTACAAAAGGCCAGTTATGATGTCCTGGGGTTCCGGCTGAGAATTATGATAAATATCTACAGTTGCCTAAGACGTTTGTTTATTTATATCCTTATTTAATCCAACCCAATTCGAGGCGGGTAATAACAACAGCCAGTTATTACCCAAAACCACTGGCGGTAACAATTTTTAACCGGAGGGATGGGTAAAAATAGTGCAGATAAAAAAAGGAACACCCTGTTGCGATTGTTTAGGGCGTGTTTAGTTGGCCGGAATTTGGATGTGCAAAGTTTGCATAGTGCCAGATTCCCTACTGTAGCATTTCGTTTGTATTTGATAATAATTGTCCAACCGTTGACTAATTGTAAACCAAAATGTTCGTCTCACAGGGAGTTTGGGAGAAACTAAACAAAGGGCTCAGGTGCAAAGGCCCCCAACTTTGTGGAGCACAAACGACACCTTTTACTGTACAAAGTTTGGGAATTTTCTGAACGAATCATGCACGTATCTTGGGGGCACAATTTAAAATGGGACAGGATCCAAGACCGTAATAATTCTAAGATTTTCAACCGGATTCCGGACGAAAACGACGTCAGATTGACAGTAAAACAAAGCGAAAGCCTGCGAGCGGCGGGGTAGGAGGCTCACCAGGCAGGCAGCAGTCGCCAAGGCAGTTCCTCCCGCAGCCGGCGCGCGGCTTGTCGGCGTCGTCCTGGTAGTTGGAGACGACGGTGGGCACCCTCTTGATGGTGAGCTTCATCTCCATGCCGGTGTGGGTGGATGGGTCGGTTACTCTCGGGGTGAGAACTCGTCGGGGTCGGGGGTTAGCTAAGAGAAAGGGACTATTCGCTAGGAAAGGAAGGGGGGTGAGAGAGAGGAGCGGCTCAGAGGCGGAGGCTCCGACCGCCGCCGGCGAGGAAGAGGAGATCGGACGGGCTTCCTCCGGCCGAGGGCAGCGCCCCGCGGCCACCGTGCGGGGCGGGGCTGGCCGCGACGGCGGAGGCGATGGTCCCCGTGGGCTCCACCTGCGCAGCTGGGGGGCCGCGCCGGGGGGCTGCAACGCTAGCCGTGATGCCTACAACTCGACCACGCCCCGAGGGGAGGGGAGGGGGGGCAGGCTGTTGCGGGATCGCGGCGGTGGGTCGCGGAAGCTGGTGCCAAGGCGGCCTGCGCCCCGGGGTTCTCCTGTCTTCTGCTCCGGCGAGCGGCGGCGGTGCGTTGCGTTGGGGGTTGTGCGCTGCGCTTGCGCTGGGTTTGGTTTGGGAGGGAGGCGATTGAGGTGGCGGATTTGGCCCCCCCGTTCGCTTCTTTTATAACCAGGAGCGTGTGCTAATTTCTCAGCAAAGGGCCTGTTTGTTTTCTTTTTCAAAAAGAACACGCACAGACATTCACATGTATATATTTGAAATAATATAATATATATACACACACATCACATTTATTTTAGGTCACAGCGGCATAACTTGGCTTTCACGAATAGAGTTGTTTTGGCTTCAACTCCACGAGCAGCTTTACCGATCAAGTTGAAGTTGTTTCGATGAACCATCTGGCAGAACAGTTCTACATGTGAATTTCTTGAAACCATGCTCCTACAACTTGGACCTCTGCCCGTGCCGGGGCCTACCAGAGCAAGTTGAGGCTGGAAGAAGTGCAGCCCTCCTCGGCAGCCATCCTACGGCGTTTCACTTTCACAAGAAATGCAGCGGCAACCGTGTTAAAGTGGAGCCAGACCTAACAATTTTTGGTTTTATCCCAAACCAATCCCTTGTGAGAGTATGTTTTAAGGAGTTTTATACGTGAAGATGTTTCAAAAATACATGTTTAGCATAAAATAGTTTTAAACCGCTCATGAAGCTATTGGAGAAGTTCTACCAAACGAGATCTTAAATAGTGGTAGAGAAAAGAGAAGGCTAAGTGTAGACTGGAAACTTGTTATTCTTGGAGTTTTCCAGCTCCTAGACGGCCTAGTGAAGGACTAGATGACATTTCTAGTGGAGTTGATTGTAAGAATGCTCCTAACGATTTAGGTTCCATTTTTTGCAATTATAAACATCCCATTCATAGTGCCCAACAAGCCACCGAGCAATATAATGGACACTTTTCAAATATTTCCTTCCTCTCTAAAGAAAATTCCTACTTATTTTGTCAATAGCCTTGATTGCCCGAGGTGGAAGGTCTATGGCCATAGCCAAGTATACCGGCATAGACTTCGCATATATTGACCAATATCCTTCTGCTAGCCCTTTTTAACAAATCCACTTTTCTAGCTTGAGAGTTGATCAACAATCCTATACAATAATAGGCTGAAAGTCTTTTGACTGAAAAATTGCTAGTTCGCTTATTTTAACAAGTCGTGGATCAATCTAATTAATGGCTCAAACAAATAGAACTCGCACCTCAAAACCTCACTACTTTCATGTGTTTCGAGCATTATGTTATGACACTTTATCTATCTAGTACATATATAGCTCACAAGGTTAGAGATAATAATGATTGCTCTTCCAAAATCTAGCCATGCATCAAATGGCTAAAGACGCCCCGCGATTTTCACCTGATAAACATTTTTTCTATATATTTCCGATGGGGTGGGCTTTCGAATGGCTGAGATAACTACATGTGTCTAGTCGAATGATGACGACAAAATAACAAGCAGTAGCACACAGACAGAAGTCGCAATATGGTACGGTTAATATGTGGCAATGGAGTAGGTTGGGGTGTGGTTGAGAGATCAAACACCAGAGTAAGCAAAATGGTTGGAGGCAACAAACCTCACCCCCAAGGCATGGAGCAATATATAATGGACACTTTTCAAATCTTCCCTTCCTATCTAAAGAAAATTCCTACATATTTTGTCAATAGCCTTGATTGCCGGAGGTGGAAGGTATATTCCTACACATTTTGTCCATAGCCAAGTATACCAGCATAGACTTTGCATATATTGACCAATATCCTTTTTGGTAGCCCTTGTTAACAAATCCGCACGAGAGTTGATCAACAATCCTACAATAATAGGCTGATGAAATTAGGCTTCTATCACTCGAATGTCTCGTGATTGAAAATTTGTTGTTTCGCTTATTTTAACAAGTCGTGGATCAATCTAATTTATGACTCAAACAAATAGAACTCAGCTTGCACCTCAAAACCTCACTACTTGCATGTGTTTAGAGCATTATGTTATGACACTGCATCTATCTGGTACATACATAGCTCGTAAGGTTAGAGAAAATAATGATTGCTTTTACGAAATCTATATAGCCATGCATCAAACGGCTAAAAACCTCCACAATTTTTACATGATAAACATTTTTTTCTTTATATTTTCGATGGTGTGGGCTTTCGAATGGCTGAGATAACTACAGGTGGCAAGCTGGATGACGATGACGAAACATCAACCAGTAGCACACAGCCAGAAACCGCAATATGGTACGATTAATATGCGGCAACGGAGTAGGTTGGGATGTGGTTTAGAGAGAGATCAAACACCGGAGTACGCAAAATGGCTGGAGGTGGACGATGAAGGGGTAGACATGCATCCAACTGCCAAGAAAGAACAATACATATTGACTGAGGTTTAAGGAAACCATAATCGACTCGCATCTACTACCTCCGTCCGCAAAAGAATGCAATTACGGGATGCATGCCAGTCAAATAAACTTAAGTTTGACCAAATTTATAGTAAATAATATTAACATTTATGTCTCCAAATAAACTTATTATGAAAATATATTCTATAGCTAATCTAATAGTATTTATTTTGTATCATGAATGTTAGCTAATATAAATTTAATTAAAGTTTCAATTATTTGACCTCTCGAAAAACGAGAATTACGTTCTTTCGTGCTGAACGTCTGAACCCCATCGAGGAGTTGCTATGCTAGTTTTTTTTTTTTTTTTGATCGGGTTGCTATGCTAGTTGCTAGTGAGGTCGACCGCTGCTGCTGGTACTACGAAGCAGCACACCGCGTTTCGTTCGTTCGTTCACATGATCTCATCCATCGTACGGAGTACGTTGTCTATGTTGGGTACACATAATTGAACACGCTAACCTTGACGGCGAATCGGCGATCCCACGGGGCCCGACAGGCCGACACGACGGCTGGCCGGGTGGACGACGGAGCAGCAGCAGTGCTTGTGAACCACGTCAAAACGAGAGCTCGCCGCTGACCCACGTGGTGAGATCGGCAGCCCCGGGCTTTCGTGTGGCTGCCAGTTGGGAGTTCATCCACCATCTGTTTTGGGCCGCACAGGCATGGTGCACTGCGTGCCACGGGACCACGTTGCCGCCCACTTGCACCGCAGGGGCTTCAGCAGCTGCTGTCCTCACTGATAGGGAGTGCTATTGGCTGCTTGCTGGTAAGAAATTTGTTGCTTGTCGTTGTCTTTAGTATGTACTGATCACTACTGGAAACCGGCACTTTGTCGAGTGCCGGAGGCTTTACCGAGTGTATTTTATCAGACATTCGGTAAAAACGGTCTTTGCCGAGTGCCAAATAAAATACACTCGACAAAATGCGTATTCGCCGAGTGTCTTTTTTCTGGCACTCGGCAAAGATGTATTTTGCCGAGTGCTATTTTTCGGCACACGGCAAAATGCGTCTTTGCCGAGTGTCTTTTTTCTGGCACTCGGCAAAGATGTATTTTGTCGAGTGCCTTTGTTTTGGCACTCGGCAAAGAGGCATTTTGCCGTGTGCATTTTTTGTCCTCGGCAAATCAGTTTTTCAAAGCAATTTTTGAGACCCTAAATGAATTCAAATGAAAAACTTTTCAACTACAAAGTTGTATAACTTCTCAAGATCTACAAAGTTTATTTTGGTCATTTCTTTATTTGACAAAGCGACAATAACGTTATTTATAAAATCTACATCTCTCATATTAGTTTTATTAAAGTAGAAGAGAGATATATAAGATTTATGAACAATATTACTACCACTATGTAGGATGAACAAATGATCAAAATAAACTTTGTAGATCTTGAGAAGTTATGAAATTTTGTAGTTGGCAACATTTTGATTTGAAATCATCTTGTCATGCAAAAATGACGTTTGAATTTGAAAATTTGAATTTTTCAAAAGATCTCGGATGGAAAAACTTCCTAAATAAAAATTGTAGATCTCCAAAAGTTATGAAACTATGTAGTTGACAACTTTTTGATTTGAAATCATCTTATCATGCAAAACTACGTTTGAATCTCTAAAATTTGAAATTTGAATTTTTCAAACGACCTCGGATGGAAAAGCTTACTAAATGAAAATTATAGATCTCGAAAAGTTATGAAACTTTGTAGTTGACCACTTTTTTATTTGAATTCATTTAGGGCCTCAAACAAGCAATTTACTCTCGGTTTAGTATAATATATGATGATAGATAACGGAATCTAGACACAAGTGACAGTGTAGTGCAGTGGTAGAGCAGCAGACACGCGAGAGAGAGGTCGTGAGTTCGAATCCCGTCGGCCACGTTAGCCGCGAATTTAGTGCAAAAATGCACCGACTTCGATGAAGACGGGCGGGCACTGGCCGGTGGCGGCCTCCCCAAAAAAAAATTGAAAAAATTTGCTATTATTTTTAGGTTTTTTCGCATTTTCATTTTACCGAGTGTAAATATTTGCCGGGTACTTTTTCGGCACTCGGCAAAGGCTTTACCGAGTGTCCGACAAAAAGCACTCGGCAAAGAAGTCTTTGCCGTGAAGGGATATGCCGACAGCTCTTTGCCGAGTGCAATTGCACTCGGCAAAGCACGCGTCTGCTGTAGTGGATAAAACTTAGT